AAATTTAGTTCAAACTCAATCCTATTTTGGAATTGCCAAACACAACCCAATATGTTGTCCTCTAAAATTTTCATCACTTAAACTGTATAATAGGTGACGGGTAGATTTTGCGGTAATAAGAGCACTAGTTATTTTTCTTAGAATAACAAGTGTTAGTTATTGGCCACAATGCCTTTATGAAGCCCTAAAGTTGACGTATGTGGGACCAGTCTATGCCCGCTCATCCACATACAGGGTCCAGTCAAGCCCATTTGTCGTTCAATGTACATCGGCCTGCTCGAGACCCCCAAGCCCCCATTCCCCACAGTGCTTTAAATGTTGGTCGATATGTCGGATTTAAAGGCTAACCGACACGATATGGAGCCTTTTAATACATATTGCGTTTTCAGGATTCATGTCGGATGTATCGGGGGACATGTCAGATATGTCAGGTGGATATGTCGATGTATCGGGGGACATGTCGGATATGTCAGGTGGATATGTCGGGAGACATATCGGTTATATTGACCGATTTTTTAGTTATGTTTATCTAATCAGGTTTGGGTTTAAATTCTTGATTGTCTTAATATTACTTTCAAAGACAAACCGATAAATTAAGGGAAATGGAAAAAAAAAGACTAAAGTAATTTTCGTCGCTCACATTTTCACTCTCCTTTGACATCTCATCGGTCTCTTCTCCGAGCTATTTCTTTAACATCAATATCAGTCTATCTTCTTTCTTCTTAACCGCCAACATCGGAGTCCATTTTTCTCATCTTTTTCCTTCAACATCAACCTTAAGCATCATAAGTTATTTACTTTTTTATGTTTAAACAACCTCTCGATTCATTCCATGAACGAAATATCCACTTTCAAATCGAATGATCAAACCTTCCTACAGTTAGGATCGCCTCAAACTCTCACTTGGTCAAACCTTCCTACAGTTAGGGTCACAACCAAAATCCTCTCTCGATTCCTTTCATGAACGAAATGTCCACTATCAAATCGAGTGATCAAACCTTCCTACAGTTAAGGTCACAAGCAAAATGCTCTCTTGATTCCTCCAATGAACGAGAGGTCCACGAATCGAGTGATCAAATCTTTCTATAGTTAGGGTCGTCTCAAACTCTCATTTGGTCAAACATTCCTACAGTTAGGGTCAAAACCAAAATCCCTTCTCGATTACTTCCATGAACGAAATGTCAACTTTCAAATCGAGTGATCAAACCTTCCTACAGTTAGGGTCACCTCAAACCTTCCTACAGTTAGGATCACCTAAAATCTAAGTATGTTTAGATTTTATTTATAATATTTATTACACATATGCACACCATCCGGTATGACAATCCGATATTTTTTTCATCTTTCCCGACATAATCCCCAATTTCTGCTATACGACATGAATTTTAGCCTGTTTGACATGAACCCGACATCTGACATTTAAAACCTTGCTTCCCCATCAATGTCAGTGAAGATAGAATACGCATCATTAAGGTCTACACAGGTGGAGTTGGTTGGGTACGTCGGTTAGGTCGATTAGTGACTTACGTCAGACCGGTCGAGCGCGATCTCTTCTGGGTAAAGCCCATTGTTTGACGTACATCAACCTGGTTGAGTCCTATTACACGTTAATGCGGCCCATCGGTCGACATACGTCTGTCCAGTGGTGCTCGTTGGTCGATGTATGTAGGTCATGTCTAGCTTGTCCCTCAACACGAGTGAAGATGCGTCGACCTATCATCGCCCTTAGCATCACTACAGTTGGTTGATGTCATCAGTAAAGTCTAGCCCATGCATCAACATAGTTTGGGGAGGTTGAGCTAATTTGTCAACGTACGGCTATCCGATTAAGCATGTCTACCAATCGATGTATGTCCATCCAATCAAGCATGGCCGCTCGCTGGCGCATGCCAACATTCGACGTAAGTCAATCCAATAAAGCCCATGGCTTATTGGAGCACCCTGTCCGTTGACGTACATCAGTCAAACACCATAACTCGTTGCTATAGCCCGTCAAAGAATGAATGACGATCTGATCGAGATTTGTTGATCGACGTACGCCAGTCATTCGATCCATATCGACGTACGACTGTCAAAGAATGCATGCAAAGGGGCTTGCACAAGGGCTCAAACATCGTGAGCAATGCCTCACACTACATGTGAGGGGGCTTGACCACCGTAGAAACTGCGTGCAAAGGGGCTCAACCATAGGCAATAGGACAAACGAGAGGATCAACCACGGGTAACAAGGGTTTGATCGCAAACCACGAGGCTTGAACAGACTGAGGTATGTTGACCAACATGAATCGGCAGCTAGCGACAAGCCTGAACGAACCAATATACATCAACCAATAGGGTTGCACCATTAGCGACAGGACTCGACCTGACCAGTGTACATCAATCGACAAGGCTTAGACTGATGGGCTAAGGTGATGAGCGATAGGGCTCGACTGGACTGGCGTATGTCAATCGGAAGAAGGGCTCAACTGGACCGTCATACGTCAACAGAAGCTTGACATGATCGACGTACGTCAATCCGCGACTCAACCCAACTGACATATATCGACCAACTGAAGCGAAATAGACCATGATGATAGATCAACCCCTTAACTCACGTCGATAGGCGGACTTGACTAAACTGACATATTTTGACTGATGGGCTCAACTTGACCGACATACGTCAATCGAAGGGCCAAACCAACGAGCGATGAGGCTCGATCAAGGCGGCATACATCAGCTAATGGGCCTCGCCAATGAGTGACTAGGCTCAACCGACCAACGTACATCTACTGACGAGCAAACTCGACCATACCACTGTCTGTCAATGGGCAAGCTCCCCAACCTACGTACACTGACCAGCTACACCAATTCAAATTGAGACAAAGGGTCGACTCATCTTCACTCACATCTACGAGCGGATTTGACTAGACCAATGGACATCCGACGTGTGTATATATATTGGCCTGAAAAGACCTATCTGTTGACCTAACAATACTGTCACAAATGGATGTCAAGCAGTGTTCGCTTCCAGCTATTGAGTATGAGCTATGAATATATAAGGATATAAGGGTATACCCTAAGTGCAAGAAGCTATCTTCGAAAAAGCTTTGAAAGATCTATGACAACTCTTCATCATTTCCCTTCCACTAAAACCCCTTTCATACAAGCAGGTGAATGACATTTAGATTAGAGCACTAGACACAGTCACAGAGATAAGATAGCAATCCCACACTCAACAAGCAAGAGAAGACAATCACAGCCTCAGGTATCACACCTTCAATAGCTTCCCTCCTCTAGCTAAACCAAATTCAAAAGAGATTCAGATCTTAACACACTACAAGATAAGTGTTTTTTTTTTTTTTGTAACTTAAAATCTCAACTAAGCAATAACAAAAAAGCAAATCATGTTCTCATCTCACCTAAAAGATAATTATAACATCTAAAGGATAAAAACACAACCAATAAAACAAATCCAATAACCAAATGTAAGTCCAATAATTGTTTAAAATGGTGGCAGTCTGCTAATGGATAACGCTTCAGGCCATATTCTATCTCCAAGCTCACTTTAAACAGAAATGATGTTACTCAAGGTTGGATAATACGTGACCTCAAGTTTTGAATGGAACCAAATGAAAATCCTTGAGTATCGATCATGTCTTTAAAGCCCTTCATCAAGCTTAATTGAATCATTGAAAGTCTCCATGAAAAGACTCTCGCTCCAAACTAGATGTTCTCATGGACGAATAAGAAACTTACATTTAGGAAAAAATTTGAACGATAACATGATCACTTTCTTTGCCTGCTGTTGCATGTGTGACATTGACTCCAAAATTAATGATAGAAGAGATGTTTATTGGATAATGAAGAGATGGAGAAGATTGAAGCATCAAGCAGTTTTGCATCTTTGAATAGCACTGGTGATATGTTTCAACAATGGAAAGAAACTGGTTGGAGGTTTAGGCAGTAAATGAAAAAGCTGCAGTAGACTCCCTATGAAGACAGTGATACTTCAATTGTCTTCTCTTAGACTAATCCAAGCTTTGCCTCTATTGCAACAAGTCTAGTTTGAAGCCAACTAACTTCCAGAACATCCACCTCAGATCTTAATGTTCATGGATGAAGTGAAGATTGCTTTGGTAACAATTAATGGCGAACTAATCTGAAGAGTAGTGAAATTGGGAAATTAAAGCTAAATGTAGGAAAATAGGGAATGACACCTTCAAAGAATTAATCACACCATCAAGAATAAACAGGAGAATAGGACCCTCAAAAAAATAGAAGAAATCACACCCTCAGGGCCTCAACACATAATTCATTATTTTTCAATCAACAAACATAGCTTCACCATTATAACAATAACAAATTCTTTTATAGGAGATTCAAATCTCAATCAGTTAACTAAAAGATAAAAGTCTTTAAGACCTCAAATCTCAACGAACTAGTAAAAGCTAGCTTGTAAAGGATTAAATGAATATAAACCTAATAACCATTTAAGATAATGACACTCAACTGCTAAAAGATAAAGAGTTTAGGTCATTCTCTATCTCCAAACTCATCCACTTCTAAACTAAAATAATGTTGTTCCGCATCATCAAACGGGTATTTTCTATATAATATTATCCAGATTGCTTATCCATCTACATGTCTCAACTTATTATGATGACTGGATAACCCCTGAGAAATTATAACAATCAGGCTCAGATGAATTGACTAATTGTTCCTTCCACCAGGACCACCACTGAGCCTTGAAGTGGAATCAAAATTTTACTTATCGAAAGATAAAATTTTAAGAAAAGAAAAGAAGTAATGCTAGTTTGATTCTACAATTCTCAGAACTTTCGCTTGATATATCTGACAGATCCTATCATTTCCTAATTTATGCTTAATAACACCATCTTGATTAAACTATTGCTGGGAAAACCAGGGAAATATAAGGTCATGTAAATCATAATACAAACCGGAAACCAAAGCACACTGGAAAGCAATCGCGATGTAGAAGTGAAAAGCTTAAATATGATCACCTTCTCTATAAAGTGATGGAAAGAGTCCATCAGGAGATATGACAACTGGACCATCAGGGAGTGCTTTTCCGTCCTAAAATACAGAATGCAAAATACAAAATGTCCAGTAAGAAAAAAATAAACTTTATATAATGAACAAAGCGAAATTAGGTGCAAAATGTAAAAGAATGAACCACGAAATCTACGTGAAAATCACCTGTTTAAGGTTGAAAAGAAACTGCCTTGTTATATAAGCCTGAGAAATTGCACGTGCACTCAGGAAAAGCAATTGATATCCATTTTCCTAAAAATAATAATAAATTCAATTACATATGTAGCTTGCAACCATAAGTATGAATGCCTCAATCAAAACATAAATACGCTAATTTGGGAAGACTTTTCACAAGATTCAGTGATTTCAAATGCCTTTTATAGTTAGCTATGACATAAAAATGCTTGAAGGAAATAATCACCAAATTAAATGTAAATCTTAAACCATGCTACACCATGTATGTAATGAACATGAGGTAGAACCCAACAGTTTGTACTTGAACCTGAGTGCAACAATAAGTTCCTGATATGAAATTGTAAATGACTGAACTTCACCTAGCATATTCTTGTGTAACCAACCATTAATAGTTACACTCCATGATGTTCCGAAAATGCATTAATCTCCAGTACTACCAAACCGTTACAAACTGATGGAAGAAATATATATTTAGATCTCCTATAAATAGTAAGTCTAACCAGTAAAAAAATAAACAAAATTGAATATGACATTTAAATATAGAAAGCAGTCTTTTGAAGCTTGCATTCCTTCGTATTTAAATAAGATTTAAACTTGTTGTTTAGAATACTTGATAGCACACAAGGCATACTTGGACATGGGACATGATCAAATGTTACATTTCATACCGTGTATTGCGCAATAAGGAAAAAAAGCATCCTAAATATGACAAATACACATATATAGTCTCAGGATGCTCAAAATTTAGTTAATTATGGTGAATTCTTATATTCCTGTGTCTTTTAATGGGATCACTAGGTTCATATAATTCTTGAAACCAAGTATAATAAGGATAAGAAAATTGTTCCATGAAAAGCAGGATTAAAAAAAGGTTCAAGATCTTGCTTACTTTCAACGAAAGATTTGAGGAATAGGAGTATATGGAAAAAGATGATCATCACACCTTGCACCAAGTGTTCTCATTCCAATATCCAACTAGAGAGAGAAATTTTTTCCTTTCAAGATAACTAATGGATATTTAACAGTGGATGTCTTGCGTTGTTCTCATAAAAGGCTTCTTGCAGGTTCATAACTAGTCATTCCAGCAATGTGACATACAGCCACAACTTTATTTAGTCATAGTTTTAAAAAGCAGTCTAGGCTCCCGTCTAGTCCTATGCAATACTTATGCTATCCACCTAGGTCTTTGGAGCGCCTAGGGAAGCATGAGCCTTTATGCAAACAGTAAAGCTTAGGTTACCGTCTTAGGTCATGATCTGATTTCCTTTATTGCCGCCTTCACGTCCCCCTGCCTCCTTGGCCTCCTCCACCAACTCCAAACATCTCCACCTCCTCAAACCTTCAACAAAATCTCCTCCACCTTCAGTTAAACAAAAAACATAAATCCGCAGGCCCTGCCTAGGCGCTAGGCGTCAGGTCGGCACCTTGCGCTTAGTGTAACATTGTAATTAGTTAGTTACATATCTAACAAATATAAAAGCCCTCTTTCAATCCTAGAAAGTATCATACGTACATTTATCCAAGTTAAAGAAAATTTTTACTCTTAATATCCCTATTTATGTAGAAAACAAAACAAGCATTTAGTTTTTTCCCTATCGAAACAAAAATAACATCTACTTATGTACTTTGATAGTGCAGAAAGTCCTCTATGAAAAAAGATTACATTCAAATTCCCTATCGAAACAAAAATAACATCTACTTATGTACTTTCATAGTGCAGAAAGTCCTCTATGAAAAAAGATTACATTCAAATGTGTTTT